ATATAAGATGGGATTAGCCCACTACCTCATATGAGCATATGAGCCCAACGTCCTAGATTGAATCTGGGCCGATCTGACGATCACGGATGTCTCAGAGTTTTTGAATGTTAGTTTTTTTTTCTACAAATCCAAATCACTCAAAATTTCAGGCGTATGTTCATAAAAAATAGGTGAATCTTTGAAAAATATCAAAAAAACTATTTTACATGAAATAAATTGACCAACCTCGAAAAGTTTGAAAAAATTTCAGGGGGTATTTTGGTCATTTTATTTTTTGTGAATAATTTTTTTTATATTTTTATTAGGTGTTCCTTGATGAGAAGAACACACACCTAAAATTTCAAGTGATTTGATTCTGTAAAAAAAAAAAAAAATTTAAACACTACCGAACATCCGTGATCGGATCCACCTGTACCATATCCTATTCAAATTACTATTCAAATCTAAATTTTGGATCTGAACCTAAAATTTGGATTTCGGATGCGGATAGGATAAGTTCTCAGCCCTATTGGAGAATGAGCTGGTTTCATTGATACATGGTTCCCTTTCGGTAGTATTTTATGAAAGTAAAGAACTTATATAATGAGATCACCCAACTTGACAAGGAGTTAAGGATAGGTGGGAAGTGTATGCTGAGGTTGATTATCCACAGGCTTAGACTAAAGTTTCATGGGTTCTTGGCTGACACTGACTGAGTTGGAGAACCTGCTAGTTTTTTGAGAGTCTCTTGCAAGAGAGATGGTGGAGCTCTCTATAAATGAGAGTGAAGAGGCATTTTCAGCAACCCAAGGACGACAAGGAAAGTGGAAAGCCAAGCCACTTGGTGAAACATTGCAGGATGCCCAAAATGACCAAGACTGGGAACGCCGTGGTAGATGATATGCAGCTAGAGTTACAGTACAAAGATGGTGAGGGGGAGGTGCAAGAGGATTTTACATGGGTCATGGAGAAGCCTAAATTGGAGTTCACTGTGGGGGAGAAGTCCTTCACTCTCAGCGCTTTGGAGATGGATGTAACCAAGAGGTTGTCAATTGTATTAAAAAATGCTTGTTGGCTGTCTGTGGCATTAGTACCCATTCACTCCAACAAAGTCCATTGTGGATGTGCAACTGGATACAGTCCACTCCGATGTCTGCAAACCGCAGAAGGTATTGGAGGTGATGTCAAAGACAACAGGGTCATGGATGATGCGTGAAGAGCGACTCATCGAAAGGAGACAAAATGTGTTTTCAAGTGGCAACCTGCAGAGATAAGAGGAAAGCCTGGTCTCAAGAGTGTGCCGACACGGACCGTCGAGGTCCCTGCTGATTGATTAGGATCCCTTGGGAGATAGGATAAGATCAAGAAAACTAATTCAATTAGTCTTGGAACTTTTATATGATGAGAATTGGTTTAATTCCTTGGTTTCGTTTTTATCCCCCTTGTAGGTTTAGATTGAAGTAGGAGTATTATTATAGAGTTGGAAGGATTTTGGTTATTATTTTCTCTGTATAGATGTGGTATGAAAGAAAGACCGATGTAATCTTTTGCAGGAAAATATATTTTTGTTTTTTAATAATAATCACCTCTTATAATTTTGGCAACAAAATCACTCACAGATGGTCTTATTACAAACAATAGAAATTCCAAAAATAAATAACACATCAATAAAATAAATCTCAACTACTTGATGTCATTTATACAACTTAATACTGTGTTTGAGAATATAAAATAAAATTAACAAATAATTAAAAAAAAAAGATGTTGGAGATTACCTCAACCGGGCTTTTTACACCCCACACCGAGTCACCACATCCAATGGCGCGGGAACAGCGGTCTAGCTTCAATCTCGAACCGGGAAAGCTAATTTCGGCCAAACTAGATAACCACTCTTAAATCTCTATAAAACCGTAACCCCAAAATAATTAGGCTTAAACCCTAATTTACCCAACCCTTAGATTAGATCATGAGAGAAATAATCTTTATGTTGGGGCGTACCCCCTAGGGTCTTTTTAGGAGAGAAGTAGAGAGAGAAAATCATAGAGTCAAGAGAGAGGGGCGTGGCCCCTATGGAAGAGAGAGAGAGAGAGTTTATGGGAGAGAGAGGTGTGTAGAGATGGGGGGAGAGCACCCCTATTTATAGTGAAATTTAGGTCTAGGGTTTCTTTAAAGTTTCCCATAATTTGTCTCTTTTTTTAAATTGAATATGGACCATTAATCAGAGTGACTTCTAGGGTGAGAGATCTGAGCCATCCATTCCATAGATGGGCTATCAACATTATCG